TGCTTCAATAACGATCACGTTTATGGTGTTACGGCTTCTAAATGCAACCAATGCCATTTTGGTCTTGTAAACATCATTCTTGAGTATCACAATGCACCAACAAATAATCCAGTGTGGATTAATAGACAGCCAGAACTCCGAACAAAGTGAATCTTCTTGGTCTATTTTAGACTTAAGTGGCGAGTGCATATAAAGTCTGCTCGGTGAAGTGGATACAAAACTTTATACAGAATCTCTTGTTAGAAGATACATCAACCCAGCTGTCTGTCGCCGTGACAAAACAAGGAAAACGATCTGGAGTATCGGGTGTACGCCTTTTGGAAACTGTATGGGCAATCTAGAATATTTCTGTAATCTAGATATTTGCGAAACTATAAGACTAAAAATTAAAATACATGGTTATTCATATTTTTATCAATCGGGTCTTAAGATTTTTATGTGCTTTTGCGGCGGCACTTCTTTCCTACGCAGCTTTTCAGAAGGCATTCCAATGGTCGTCCTGTTGTCTATATTTGATGAAAGGCTGTTTTTATTTGTGAACATAATTTCATCTATATTCAAGTAAAAATCGATATCACTATAGCTAAATTGCAGTTTTAACTAAAAATCTTTACTTATAGATTGTGTGCATGTCGAAATCCGCAACTAAAACAACCATGAACCTTTTCTTTCTTTCATTTTTAATCAAGAAGCAAAAAGATGCTATAACTCGATCTCGCGTGGTAGTAATTTTCTATTAACTATCTCAACAAATATTTGTTCTGAACTTAAAAGCTTTCAATGTGTCTATGAAGCTTTTTCTCTTCCTAACATCGTACAATTTTATCTATAAACATACATTAAATCACAAGTGGCATGAATGGATATCATTTGAGGATTATGAGTGTTTTATGGTTCAAACAAACCTTGTTTTTTGTCTTAATTAATGGGATTATATAACTACTGAGAATGTTTATTATAATGATCAACTTGCTACTTGAATTTATAGAAATAGAAATTATTATAATTATTAGTTAAACTTTTTTTGGTTGGTTCTCACGCATGGTATCTGGTGTGTCTAATTTATTTGTGTTGCGTTTTAGATTTGTTCTAAGAAAATAAATATGTACATTGGTTAACATTGCGATTTCTTAATAGACTTTCACATTGTATATATATGAACTATTGTTTGAAATCGCCACATGAATGAGCGGTTTCGTCACACAACTAAATTTAATTTTACATACCATAAATACGGCTTGACATAAGGCTGCCCGAGGCGCCTGTAATAACTTTTACAAATAAACTTAGTTTACTTACAACAAACTTTTTTATCTGTACTTAAACAATTCGATTTATTTATCGTTCCTGTAACAGTAACACAATTTAATTATCATTCAGTTTCGCTTTCCTGACTGGTGCCGGCAGTGAATCTCTTCTTTTTTGAATAGTTTTAGACTTCAAAAATATTTACAAAAGTTTTATGTTTAATCCAGATGCCTTGGATCTAAGCACGTATACATAGTCTGCGAACGCTTATTTGTGTTCGACTTACAATAAATATATACCGAGCGACGTTTTTATATTCTTTGTAATTTTTTTTGTTTTGTATCAAGGTAGCCGTTATTTGAATGCGAAAGGATATGGAACTATTTTTAATTTTAAACATGCATAAATGCATAATTTTCAATACATAAATTTAAACGATTATGAAAGTTTAGGAGTGCTTTTGTTGCACCAGAAATTGGTAGTAAGAAATAATGAAGGGTGTATGGATATAAAAAAGAATCTTGGCCTTGCATGGTGTTTTAGTAAGTAAGTTTTCAGGATCACCATTCCTATAAATTTGGAATTACTAATTGCATTTTTCACAATATTAGACAAAAATAAATAATATGAATATATTATGATTTGATCAAATTGTAAACTAAACAAGTGTGTGATATATAGCATTTGCATACAGAAAATTTTAGACTTCAAATTTTTTCTTCATGATCAAATTTACTGAAAAATTGACAAATTTTCAATTTTTTAGTAAAATATTTAAGTGTAAATACATATATCAATATAAGATACCCATCTCTTTGTAAAACTTACTTGGAATTTTTAGAATACTAAAACGCACATTTTTAGCATTTAATTAATTAATCAAACTCCAAGAGTAATTATGTAGGTAATTGAAGGTTTATGGAAAAAACTTTATAATTTTCCCTAGTTCTATCAAAACTTCTTATTTGTCATCGAACTCTGAATTTATTACAACAGATCATCTACATAGACTCAAAAATTAATTTAAATAACATAGCAAAAAAAATGTAATATTCCATCATAATTTGATAAATTAGTTTTGCCTCTAGAGTTACTTTCGAATTAGGAAGGAGATGACACTGAAAAGTTTCATATTTTTTAGTTAAATGTTCATTCGTCAATATATTGTGCCCAGACATTTAGTTTTATTAAAACCTCACTTTAGATCTCAAATTGTTACAAGGTTGGGGATCTATCTACATGAATACAAAAAATGATATAACGTGTTGGTTTTTAATAATAGTAGAAAATACTATTTTCAAAATTAGTAAGAAATACTTTGTTTCTAATAAGAGATACTGCATGTAAGTGTATAAACAGTTATGTATAGTCGAAAAAGATAACTTTGGTTCTAAATTTGTTACAAAAAATGACAATTGTCTATTATTAGTTAGAATTCTGTGTAGGTCCATAAACAATTATATTGCTATACGATCCAGTTTGTTTAACTTTTGTCTACAGCAGCTTTGTCGAAACACCTACTTCGCGCTTTATTTTAAACTAGCCGCAGTTAAGACTGGTTGCACGTTGTTTTTTCCACAAAACAATGTAGTTTCGTTTTTACCGCCACTTTAATAGCAAACAGCAAACACAATATGGGAACGGTTTGCGCCGGTCTCTATTTTAAAACGTTTCGCTTTTTGCTTTATTAGCGAGCAACACTTCTATTTATATCACCCCCTATACCGAATATATGAGATATGCAGAGGAACAGACAGACAGACAGACGGACGGACGGACAGAAGGAACAGGGTACTGAGCCGTTGAGGTATGTATGCGTTGCAGGTGCTAGTGAAACTCTCTTCGGAGAGTTTACTTGTTTGCAAATACCGCAAGATCGCGAGATCTCGCCAGATGCGCGTCTAATTCCAGGACTCCCTTGGAAAGCACACGGGGCATCAACTGAAAACACAATCGTTAAAAGTTTTATTATTAGTTGGATTTGTACAGAGGAGTCTTAGAAGGATTTTTGTTGCACATTAGGTTATAAAGAGAGCATTTGCACAAATACCTTTATCCGGTCCTTGTTTTGCAGACTTCAAAGGGAATGGTTATATACATATTTTTTCGTTTTATGGATCAAATAGGTACCTTTATAGGAATTCATTTTATTCAACCAAAAGGCTTCTAGTTTATTAGTGGTCGAGATCGTTGGAATCTCAGAGAGATTTTCATTTGCACAAATACGCTTATTCAGTCATTGTTTTATAGACATCAAAGTGTAGCATATAAGGTTGTCAAATATCTCCCTTCCGCCTTTTTGTATTATAAACCAAGAGCAAAAAAGCGGAAGGGAGATATTTGACAACCTAATATATTTTGATTTTGTGGATAAAATAACTGCTTCCATTCTTTTTTGTTTTATTCAACTAAAAAGCTTTCCTAACTAGAAGAAATATTTTGTGTTCTATAAACAGATTTTTTTTTAAATTTTATAGACAGATATAGGTGCCTATATTAGAAATATGTTCATTTCATATAGAATTTCGGTATATGTCGTAATCAAATAATTATTATAAAGGTTCATATAATAAAAACCTTAAAATCTAAAATCTAATCAAAGATCTGAAATGAAGAATAAAATGAAACATCAATAAAATTATATTACTCAGATAAAATATATTATAAAATATATATTTTTATAGAAAATATTACAAACAGTGCTCATCTAAAATGGTCTTAATAAATTTTTATTATTTTAACACGATTTGGTATTATTTATGGTTAATTTAATTAAAATACTCATAATTAAAATACGAATTAACTTATCGTAAATGTTTACCAGACATGCTCTATTTTATTTATATCTATTTCTATTTTAACATTATGAATATTTTTTAACCAGAAAATTTTATTAATCAGCCAGCATTTAGGAATCAGTTAGTCACTTTCTAAAAAAAAATTTTTTCATGCGTTAAATATTTCAGTGAAAACACCAATGATTTTGCAGGAATGTTTAAGATGAATTTTGTTTAAATTCGAAGTAATATCTTGCGTGCATGCAGATATTGAAGCCAAATTATATATGAAACAGAAAATAACGTAACAAATGAGTTCCACAAGGAACCACGGATCATTAGGAAAACATGCTTTGCTGCCAAAACGTTATTTGCTTCATTAAATTGCTATGCAGAAGTTGCTATGATAATTCCATATATAAATTTCAAACAGCTTATTGGACAAGTAGGTATGAGTAAATAGCTCATACGTACTTTTTGTGGTGGTGGTGGCTGTTGCAACAAATTACATAAATTATTTATCCAGTGATTAAAAATTCTAAGCTATTGAATAAATATTTTATAGGTTTATTTCCAACCACTATGAGTCTGACCATCTGTCTTTTACCTAGGGTTTACCTTCGTCCAGCCATCACCAGGTTAATAATCTCTCGTTTTAGTCCATGAATGAGCATAAAGGAAGCAAAGTCGCTTCGTATTTTGTAAACGATTCTAAATTTAACCATACGGACGTGCCTTGGATGTCTATGTCCCATGTTCTATCAAACGTTGAATTATTCGTTCCATATCAAACGAATTTGCCTTCTCATTGTTGAAATTGACATAATATCACGTCATTTGGATGCGAATTGAATTATATTATTCTAACAGAAACCGTAGACTGTGGATCAAAATCTTCCTTATTTTAAATTAAAACCAACCAACTGATGTTCTTAATATTCAAGATTATTATTAATGTATCAATTTATTTTACAGGTTGGCCATGAATAAGTGACTGATGAGCAATGAAGGTTGCACCATATTACCATTTGTTGATTACCAAAATATTCTTCAAGAGTTGTTATAGATTAACATGGTTACTTATTTTCTATGATGTGACCTTAACATGTGGCACACCTATTCCTTCGACTAGAGAAATTTTGCTAGGTAAGTTAATACATATTTAATAATAAAATTAAATTAAGTTCATTGGTTTAATCTGAAATTATAAAATATAAAAATAGAAGCTTAGGTGTTAGAGGTTTGTTCCACTTAAATACCTAATTCAAAGACCTAGAAAGTATTTATATCACAGTAATGATAAATAAACAGTAGTAATATTGAGATTTAAGTAAAATTTTATTAAAAAATAGAGAAATAAATTTCACACAGGAATTTGAACAAGGCAAACATGTCTATATAATAGGTACCAAAATACTTCAGAGTTTTAATTAAATTTAAACTGCTCACTTTTCTTAACACACTATGCTTCTGATGTGGTTAATATCAGGCGTCACATCAAAGGAGCAAATCTGTTTTCATAAAACATTTTTTTAAATATTTCTAGATCATTGCCTCATAATTATTTAACGTACTCATATAATTTTGAAAATAATACAATGTAAATATTGATATTCAGCTTTTCAAAATGTATTACATAGTTCGAGTATCTTTGTATTCCTAATCTAGTATAGAATTAGGCCTAAACAAAAATAAATAATTGACTGAAGAAAATTCCAAGAATTAGTTAAAATAAAACCCTTACCACGTAAAGCGAAAAATACAACTTTTTTTACTTTTCGTAGAACATATTAAACGAATATTCATAAAAACTCCATTTAAATTTGGTCCCAAATGATTTGATTTATTTAGTAGTCATAACCCTAGGATATCATTCTCGTTAGTTAGTCTTGAAACCCCAAACTAGTTGCCGAACAAAAGTGTAGAATTTCATTGTAAAGTATAAAAATAACTGCATATGTGAAACCGAATCACGAAAAACTAAAACATAGTAAATCATTAATTTTATGGCGCCAAGAAGGGTAATTAAATGAAATCGAATATACTAATAACAATTTTATGGATGTATTAAGTGCTCAGTTTCCTGACGGTTGCCTATGGAATAGCATTGAAGAAAATTAGTTATGGATGTAAGATAGGAACTAGGCATTTTACTTTAAGTTGTTCATCACAGACCCAAAAATTAGGATTCTATTCAATTTATATTTTAGTTGTCGATCACAGACCCAAAAATTAGTATTCTATTCAATTTATATTGAATATTTATGTGCCCTTAAGGTCAGTTTGGGCATAAAATCTACCTTTATGCCAAATTTCATCAAAATCTCAGACTAGCTGCGCCCAAGTTTTCCTTGTTGGTGTGTACGGTTTTTCTTGACTGAGATGCAAAAAAATTGCTTAAAGTTTTCGCAAATCGGAGCAGTTTTTTATCTGAGTCCATTCTATTAACAAATTTTTGGTACTACTTACAATCGAATACGAATCCAGTGATTGGACGCCCCAGGTAAGATCAAGGAGTTATTTAATCATGAAAAATTTGAGGATTATCCAGATTGGAAGTTACGCCACCACAGTAACCAATTATCACATATCAAAGTGAAAACCAAAATTGATGTGGAACATTCATCGAACAGAAGAAACTTGAAGTTCCATCGTTTTTAATGCGTGTCTCGGCGTCCTAAAAGAATTTGGCGCGTTTCCAGATGTCCCGTTTGACTTGAAGTGACTGCACGGACGCGGTTTGTTTGCATAAAACAAAACAAATGTTTCGCCCGACGTCCAAAACGTTCCGGCAGAATTGAGAATTCGACTAGTTCATAATATCTTGATCTCGTCTTTTGTTAGACACACGGGAATGTTAGATATTTGTAACAAAATAAGCCACCCATTAGCAAGCATCAAAGGCAACATAGCGGTTCAGCAAATTGGCACCTGGGGGGAACGGTATTAATAGAAATATGGAAAATGAGCACAATGCATTTGTTTAGATAGCAAAACGTTTTGTATGAAACGTAACAAATTTAGCGTTCACATATGATGATGGAAATTCCTATCTCACTGCAAACACACGTAATTTGGAAGTAGATGTACTAAAAATAATCAGCAATCTGTTCAATTAAATTGATATTAGCAGCCAAATCTGTGAGCTATTTTTTAGGATTTTTGGACCTACCATTTTTCTTGGTGATACCTGGGGATATTTAAATTTACCCTCCCTCTCCTATACAATAACACGTGTATTTTTAGTACCTATAACAAACCGTGAATTTTTTTATTTTTTTGAAAAATTTTTAGATTTTTTTTAATTGTGGTAAAAAATAAATACACGTCCCTCCCCCGTTCCTTTTTCCTCCTCCACGATAATTCGTGATTTTTTATCAAACCCCTCCTCCCCCAATATCTGAGGATATTATTTTTCTGAATTTTACACATGATTAATTATTATTTATCATTTCCTTTGATTTTAATATGAAATGGACAAGTTTTAGAAACACAATACACTATAAATAATAACCATTATTAATTATTTATTACACTGTAGGCGTAAGATAAGTTATTGAATAATTTTACTACTACGCAAATGTGTGAGTCAACGATTTGCATTTTCTACGCCTGTCTATGAGTGAATTGCATATGAATCTATTTGGAGCCCGATTTTGAAATACTAAAACAAATATACAGAAATAATAATAATAATAAATAAAATTTGATGTGAATAGTAGAAGTCTCAGGTTTGAGCAAGAGCTTTGAGCACGTATTACCGATTTGGGTTCGGGTTCATTTTTCATTTTTATTATTTAAACAAATTTTCTTGGTCATGTGGATCTGATTTATTTTGACATCTATGGCAAGATGTTAAATAACTATCGTTAAATACTTATAAATAATTGACAAGTCAAAACAAAGCCATGCGCCAAAACTGTCTTTCAGTTCGTAGCCTAATTTCTAAATGAGAACTGGCAGTTTATTCTAGGAAATTTGATTTGCTCTTGAATTCTCGATTTAAATTTATGTCATACACCGTTCTATATTATTTGAAATATTTATAGTAAAAATATCGCGTTTTTCAAGTATATTTCGACGCAATTTGGTATATGCTATCGTTATTTTGGGTGCTATGCAAATATACAACTCTCGATATTAAACATGCATTCTGGTTAAGCAATTTATTTATTAAATCAATAAGCAGTTGCAATGAAAATATTAGATGTTTCAGATGTTTGAAAATAGCTATTCAAATTGGAAATTTATTGGTTCACATTGAAAATTAGCATTGTGTGCATAAACATTTTTTTATATAAACAAATTTGTAATTAAGTAATGGATTTATTTTATTAAAATGCATGCATGCATTTTAAAATTTGTAATAATGTTAAATATTTATTTAAAATTTATTTGATTTAACTAAATTAAAAATAATTAGAATTATTAACACAATAATAACAAAAGCTCACATATAAACTCCAATATATTTTTGTACTAGCTCTTGGAATAAAAATATTACAACAATCATAAAATATAAATTATTTTGAGACCTAATATTAACCAATATTTCAAAAAACCTTTATAGAAGAATTCGCTTTAAACTATCCATAAAAATATTTTTTTTGGATTTCCTTATCTGGACGGGCGAGGCGATTTTCAGGAATCCACACGGTCAATTTTTCCCAAATACCTTTTGACAAAGGCAGTGTATGATGATTATAGGAACTCAATACTGAAAGTGAATTCTCTGAGTAAACAAGAAACGAATAAATAAATAAACCTATGGCTATGGCAACGTTATATATGATGTCGGAGCATAAATAGATAGTTGACTTGACTTGGGTTCATCTGGATGGATGGAACGCACATTGTCAAGATATAACGAGCGCACGAGCCATGTCAAATCAGAAGATCTACAGACTATGATCTTCTGTCAATATTGGCTCGATGATTAAGACGTCAATATTTGATCGCAAACATTTTGTGAAATTATCATCTATTCTTGAAGCTCACAAAGATAACACTTATAATGGATTGTGTTATAAGAAATGGCAAACTTATTAAAAAAATAGTATTTTACTTGAGGGAGCGTCCAATAATCAAGTGAGCCTTAAGGAAGGTCTGGCAAAATATCACGTGTAATTATTTCTTACCTCAATTAAAAAAATCCAAATTTCGTCCAAAAAATCCAAAATTTAACGATTTTTTTCTAGGTACTGACAAAACATGTTATGTTTGGTGGGGCTTTGGGGCTGATATTAAATATCACCAAGTATTACCAAGGGGGCGAGGGGTTACCAAAAAATTTAAAAAATCGCTCACGTTATTAATCGACGCTCCTTGTTTGGTTTATCATTGCTCTTACTCTGTATTGCAAAATCATTAGAATTAGTTTTGTATTCTTATATAGTCATTCAACTCTTCTTAATTTATTTTAATCTTTCAAGAACTTTATTCAGAATTTTACTCGACATAGATGAAAATCCATAAATTGATGAATGAGCAAATGTAGCTAGGAAACTATTATATTTAAATTTTAGTTTTTGGAATAAAATATGTTTATCAATACTTGATTATTTTAATACTTTTCATAATAATAAAATTGTTCTAATCAAGTAATCCTTACATATTTTTCTTTTTCTGTCTTACAGGTGGCGAAAACGAACAAATAGAATTATATTTAGGTGAAGATGTACGGTTAAAATGTGATATTCATACTGGATCCAGCAGGCACTATTCTTGGTACCACAATGGACACAAAATTAGAACCAATTCAAGATTTACTTTGGAGAGAAAATGGTAAGTTTTAAATTATACAACTTTAAATAACAAATTGTAGAAAAAATATGTGTAGGTATTTTATTCTGCTCGAAGAAAATTTGAAAATATTTAAGTAATTATAAAAGAGAGCTGTTAATACAATTTATGAGGTGCATAGGATAACACCCAAATTACCCAACTGTCTACTAAAAAATCGTGAATCCGGATTTACTATCTATTACCTAAAGCTCAACATTCTTTGGAATTAACGATGCAGTCTAGTATAACGTTAAATTTTAACACTTTGTCTACGATTTAGCCGTTAATTTACCACTACTGTTACCGTTACAAATGCATATCCTGCATTTCTATTAAACAATAGACAGTATTCTTATTCGGTACGTATTCTTAAAGGTAAAGAAATACTTTTGTCACAATAGATTCTTTATTCTAAGCATTCGTAATCTAATTGAAATTGATTGCTGTCGACGCTGAAACTATGTCAAAAAGATACTGTTAAATGTAAGGTGTGTATAAAGTCGAAAAAGGCAATTATCAGAATATCATTACTGCTTGATATCAAGGTGATCAAAGTTTGAATTTGGAAACTAGTGGTTGCTAATCCACAAAGCCTCATCCTCTGTCATTGTTATAATTATATTTTTAAATTCTAACCAGAAATCTGGTCCCAAGTATTGATGTGGTCGTGGTATGAAATCGTATCAAATATCAACATATCCAGGTATACTGAAATAAACCTCTGGACCATATTTCAAAATTCATAAATAACATGATGTATAAACCACAATTAATCTGAACATTAAATCGGAGCAGGATTTCCGCTCAGGTGCAGTAGTCTTGCACCTGGACGAGCCAAAATTATAGTTACAAAAAAAATAGTTTTAGTTCTATAAAAGTCTAGATACTTAAATCGGACACATCTGATTTTTTTATATTTATAATTTTTAAAATATTTTAATTTATTTTTATATTCACATTTGAAATATTTTAATTTATAATTAAAAGTGTAAAATAATGTTGTTTAAAAGAATTATTCAAAAATTAAAATATTTGGAATTCAATCTTAAAAAATGTAGCAGCATTAGTGAAATGAACAGCTCATCTTTAATTTCAAATTTAAACGTGCACTATGTTGAAAAAATATTTTGAATTATTTATTTTTATGCGTATATCTTCAGTTCGTGTACTCTCCCTACATTTATCTAATCAAATTTATAAAGGTTACGATAACCTTATACTCTAATAACAATTATCATACAGACTGAGACTACTAGGAATATTTAAATTGTGTGTACATATCTTATTCACTTATAAAATAAGCCTTTTCATAGCGGTACGAGTACGAGTAATAAATATTACTTTCTGGAAAAGTTTAACCATAAGAATGTTATCATTTATTAGCATCTTATATACAATACCATACGAGACATCTCATACGCGACAATCTCTTACTTTCACTCAATGTAACCTGATGTAAACGATATTATTTGAATAAATAAATATTCTTCGTTCGCTCAATCTTAATTTAAACTGATCGTGATGTTAGGACATCGTGACATTACTACCGAGTTCAAATGCCCGGTTGTATATATAATACAGATTTATTTTAGTCATATATATAAATTGTCATATTTCCGAAAAGGCTCGACATCAGGCACGTAGTTTCTCAAGACTCTGGCCTGTACGCGTGCACTGCTGCGGGTCAATGGCGCAATGCGACCGCCACAGTGGACCAGGAGGCCCTCGATGAAGTCTTAGAAGGTACATACATTATATATGCACATTTTAGTAGTTGCAAACTTTGTCCAAACTCTGTTCAATCAATATCTTCATTATCGATTTTTTTTGTAATTTTATTTAAAGCCTAAAGAAATTTTTTGATTTTCAGATTATAACGATGGTTCTGGATATGTGTCCCATACACATTCTCCAGATGTAGTTCAATTTATGGAACTTTTGGGTGATAAAATGTGAGTATTTTATTGCCAAATTTATTTAATAATAGATGTTGATAACTAATATAATTTACAGGCAATCGAAGATATTCCCAAAAGTTTGGCACCAGAATTCACCAAACCAGAGTTGATGGTCGATAAAAAAACGGTATCTAAAGGCACTACTTACAAACTACTATGCAACTCATACGGTAATTTCCACAAAAATCAATTTAATTGCAATTGAAAGAAAGGTACGATTTTCATGTCTTTTTTCCTTCCAGGAGTTCCTTTTCCGACTACGTCATGGTTCAAAGATAATAAAAACATAACAAATTCTAGTCCAAATAAACACAATAAATCCGACCAAGTATTAGTTATAGAAAAATTCAATGCAAAAGATGAAGGAACATATGTATGTAAATCTTGTAACTCGGCCGGATGCATAAGTCACTCTACAAAATTAGAAATTGCAGGTGCTGCACTAACGTTCAACTAATAATTTTATAGAATCATAAATTAGTTTTGTTATTATATCATACATTTATTGTGTTGTATTTTCAGACGTGGAAAATAATCCTGCACCTTTGTCGCAACACCCTGAATCCAGAAATGTAAGATAATTGACACAATTTGTTATCTATTTCTGTTACAACAATATTAATTTTTTGTTTAAAATAGATGGTACTACCTACTCGAGAAATT